CTTGTTTTTTTTATAATGTAATTCATTTTTTATTAATTTTTATTAATCGTTAATGGAAACCCTTTAAGTCTATCACAGGGTATATTCATGCCCTAATATGATTGTATTATATTAATTTACCCCAGTTTATTATAATAAATTATAAGTACAAATGATCGTCGTAATATGATTTAGGCATTGTTAAATCTTTTCATTGTTTCCAAATTTGGTTGGTGAACAAAAATTTAAAACTGTACGCATATACAGTATTTATATTTATATATTACAAAGAAATTATTAATGTTCATTTTCGATTTATTAAGATCTCGGAAACGATACCAATTTTTTTTTTTTTTTTGATTTTTTTCTAAAAAACCTAACCTTTAGAAATTTATATTATTTTATATATTTAAAACATGTATTTTCCACTTAAATCTATTTTTTTCACTTTATTATTATTATTAAATTCAATACTATGCTATAAACCACTCAACAGATACCTTCATAATAGTGTAATAATCGATAATCGCCTCTTAATACTTGGCGGTTTTACAAATACAACTGGATCATATGAATTATTCTATTTAAATTTATTAAAACCATTTGATAATAATAACTTAACGTGGACTTTAATTCCTGATGGAAATCTTACTGTATATGTATATCGGTCAACTTCTATTTTAAGTATGGACAATTCTACAATTTATTTAATCGGAGGAGTCAAGACGAATCAAAATGGATATTATGATTTTTCCAAACCATTCTACACATATAATTATTCTATTAATAAATGGGATGCACCAAAAATTATTGGTAATGAAGTTCCTATTAGACAGAGTATAGAAGGAGTAATTGATAAATTCGGAGTTATATATTTATTTGGCGGATATAATGTCACCAATTATACGTCTATTACTGGAGACCTTTACAGTGATATGTATACATTTAGTACTGTCTCAATGACTTGGACAACTTTGAGTGCATCCGGAGATATTCCTATACCGTGTTCTGGATATACCGCTAATATTTTACCAAATGGATATATTGTTTATATCGGTGGAGTGGAACAAAATGCCTTTAAGATAAATTTCATTCTTGTAAAAATAAATAATGTAAGCAATTTAAATATTAAGTTATTTACATAGTATAAATATTTTAATATATTAAAATTTATAATTCTTTATTATTATATTATTCGCAAATAGATTAAACTCTTTAATACAAAAACATATAAATGGACGCAAATGGTATGTATTTTTTATTTTTTATTTTT